TGTGTGTGTGTGTGTGTGTGTGTGTGTGTGTGTGTCAACATGTATGAACCAACAATGATCATTAATAATCAATAATCAATAATTAATAATTAATAATCAGCCGCTGAATATAAACCCCGCCTCTGTGTCCCCGTTTATCCTCACTGCTGAAACAAGTGTGTGGTGACTACATTCAGGACTACGCTCCATGTGAGGACCAAACAAAGTAAATAGTATCAGCCAATGACAGACGAGCTCCTTCTGCACTTCCTGCTTTGTAACCAATCACAGAGCAGATGTGGATTAAACGTGTGGAACAGGAAATACTCAACTACAGGAGTAAAAGTACTTCGTTACTTGCTGTAACTAACATGAACGTGTTTACCGAGCTAACAGTTGTTAGCAGCTCCGTCAGAACTCTGTTTAAAAAGTGGAGACTTTTCACGGCTCCTCTGCACCTGGGACCTCAGAGCAGCTGGCTGAGAGAGGACCGGTCTCTGCGACCCGAGGCCCAGTCACGATACTTTCAGAGCCGAAGCGTCGGGACACTCGCGAACAACCAGAAACCCCAGCGTGAGACTCTAACCCTGCTCTACCGACCGGGAACACATTCAATCATCATGTTTCCAATGGAGTCTGGTGAGTGAGTGTGAACCTTTGACGTCCAGAGCCAGACTCTTCCAGGAGCCGGAGAACTGGACACAGTGTCCGCACCACGACGAGTAGAACTGGACCAGCCAGGCCGAGGACGAGTTGGTGACAGCGGGCTTCATGCTGCTGCTGCTCAGGATCACCAGCGGGTCCTCCTCCGTGTACAGCCGGGCCGCGGCTCCCAGGCACCCGGGGACGAGCCAGAGCAGCGCCGCCGCTTTCAACCAGGCCCGGGACATGGTGTGTTCCTGGGGGAGAGTCACCGAGAGCAGCGGGGAGAGAAGCTCAGAGCAGCGGATGGTTTGAGTCGTTAGTGTCGTGAAGAGACCCGGGGAGACATGAGAGAGGAGGGACAGAGAGGAGGGACAGAGA